TAAAACTAAATGGACAGAGACACAATGCAATTCCTCAAAAATCAGGAACAAGACAAGGCTGCCCACTCTCTCCATTGCCCTTGAAATTCTAGCTAGAGCAATATGACAACAAAAGGAGATCAAGGGGATGGAAATTGGAAAGGAAGATGTCAAGTTTTCACTATTTGAAGATGATGTGATAGTTTACATAAGTGATCCAAAAAAACTCTACCAGTGAACTCTTACTGCTGACAAATTCCTTCAGCAATGTGGCAGGATACAAGATCAACTCAAGAAAATCAGTAGCCCTACTATATACAGACGATAAAAGGATTGAGAAAGAAATCAGAAAAACATTGCCCTTTACAATAGCCAAAAACAACATAAAATGACTTGGGGTAACACTAACCAAACAAGTGAAAGACCTGTATCACAAGAACTTTGAGTCTTTAAAGAAAGAAATTAAAGAAGACACCAGAAGATGGAAAGACCTCCCATGACCTTGGATAGGTAGGATCAACGTAGTAAAAATGGCAATTTTACAGAAAGCAATATACCGATTTAATGCAATCCCAATTAAAATCCCAGTACAAATTTTTCACAGACCTTGAAAGAATAATCCTCAACTTTATATGGTAATACAAGAGACACAGATTAACCAAAACCATCCTGTTCAACAAGGCAACACCCAGAGGCATCACCATCCATGACTTCAAGCTGTATTACAGAGTGATAATCCTGAAAACAGCTTGGTATTGGCACAAAGATAGACCAATGTAATCTAATTGAATGCCCCAACATTAACCCACACATGTATGAATATCTGATCTTCGACAAAGAAACTAAAACTATACAATGAAAAAAGAAAGCATCTTCAACAAATGGTGCTCTCAGAACTGGAGGCTGACATGTAGAAGACTGCAGATAGATCCATGTCTATCACCTTGCACAAAACTTAAGTCCAAATGGATCAAAGACCTCAACATAAATCCAGCCATACTGAACCTGTTAGAAGAGAAAGTGGGAGGTACCCTTGAACAAATTTGTCCAGGAGCCCACTTCCTGAACATAACACCAGTAGCACAGTTACTAAGATCGACAATTAATAAACGGAACCTCCTGAAACTGAGAAACTTCTGTAAGGCAAAGGACACAGTCAACAAGACAAAAAGGCAGTCCAAAGAATGGGAAAAAATATTCATTAACCCCACATCTGACAGAAGGCTGATCTCCAAATTTTACAAAGAACTCAAGAAGCAAGTGTCCAAAACACCAAAGGATCCAATCAAAAAGGGGGAAGCCAGCATGGGACTGATCAAGACCCCCTGAATCTGGGTGTCAGTGAAGAGGCCTAGGGAATCGACTGAGCCTTGGGCAGCAGATCAGTACCCATCCCAAGTATACACACGGACTTTGGATTCCAATAGAACAATGTGAGGTGCACTCTCACCCTGAACTCTTGGGAAAGGGTCTAGGCCCTGCCCTATATGAAATGACACACTATGGACACCCCCATGGAGGGCCTCACCCTCCCTGGAGAAATGAGGGGATAACGGGGGGGGAGGAGGGCACGGGAGGAAGGGAGGAAATGGGAGAGGGACCTGGAACTGACTTGTGAAGCAACCTTGATTCTTATCTAAATTTAAACTGGAAAATAAAATTTAAAAAAAAGTGGGGTACAGAACTAAATAGAGAATTCTCAATAGAGGAGGCTAAAATGGCTGAGAAATACTTGAGACAGTATTCAACATTTCTAGCCATCCAGGGAATGCAAATCAGAACAACTCTGAGATACCATCTTAGTCCTGTAAGAATGGCTAAAATCAAAACCACTAATGACAGTTTATGCTGGAGAAGATGTGGAGAAAAGGAAATATTCCTTCACTCCTGGTGGTAGTCCCGACTCATACAGCCATTTTGGAAATCAGTATGGAGATTCCTCAGGAAAATGGGAATCAGTCTACCACACTATCCAGAAATTCCACTCCTAGGCATATACTCAAAAGATGCACATTCATGCAACAAGGACGTCTGTTCCACTATATTCATAGCAGCATTATTTGTAATAGCCAGAACTTGAAGCAACCTAGATGCCCCTCAACTGAAGAGTGGATAGAGAAAATGTGGTACATTTACACAATGGAGTACTATTCAGCGGCAAAAAACAATGAAATCTTGGAATTGGCAGGCAAATGGATGGCACTAGAAGAAACCATTCTGAGTGAGGTAACCCAGTCACAAAAAGAGAAACATGGAATGTACTCACCCATATATGGATTTTAGACATGAATTAGGGAAGTTCCAGCCTACAATCCCACTGCCAGAGTCTGAGAAACAGAACCTTCATATAGCAACTAATGGAAATAGAGGCAGACACCCACAGCTAAACACTGAACTGAACTCCTGGAATCTAGTGACAGAAAGGGAGAACTGATGAGCAAAAGAGTTAAAGCTGGACTGGTTTAACCCACAGAAACAGTTGACCTAAACAAGGGGGAGCTCTTGAACCACAGACTGATGGCTGTGTGGAAACCATGGGACTGACCCAGACCCCCTAAATGTGGGTATCAGTTAGGAGGCCTAGGTAATCTATGGGGTTGTGAGTAGCATTTATCCCTAGCATACAAATAGACTTTGAGTGCCCATCCCACAATGAGGGATGCTCTCAGCCTGGACTCTTGGATGAGGGCCTAGGCCCTGCCCTGCATGAAATAACAGCCTCTAGAGATCCACCATGGAGGGCCTCACCCTCCCTAGGGAGCGGAGTGGAGATTGAGTGGGGAACTGGGGGTCCTGGTGGGGATGGCAGGGGAGGAGGGGAGGGAGAGGGAGCTGGGATTGACATTTGAAACAAGCTTGTTTCTTTTTTTTTAAGTACAATGAAGTTAATCAATCACCAGAAATCTTTCTTTAATTTCTGGTGTTGCTTGGGCTAAATCAGTACAAGTTGTTAAAGAAATAAAACTGAGCTCCCAAATCTACAATAACATAAAATAGTAACCTACTACAAAGATCCATGAGAATTAAAAGTGATTTGTTTAGTTTCAGATAAAGAAGTGCATTATCTTTCTATATATATTTATATAACACATAATCTAGGGCTTTAGATATAAATAGTATTTATGGAAATAATACACAACTCTATTTTTGCAATAGGAAAATTAGCAACATTAAATAAAACTTCAAAACATTTTTCACAGCAACAAGCTTGTTTCTAATGTAAATAAATACAAACAAGAATTCAAAATGTCCATAATAAGGTTTTATTGGAATTGTAGACACTGATAATGATGTCACCAATATAACTCAAAAATCCTGGCCTTCCAGATGGGCCCTACAAGAAGTAAACATTCAATTCTTAGGGATTGGAACCTTATCCCAAGTAATACAAAGAACGAGATGGGTTGACTGTAGAGGGCCAAAAGGACAATGAGAACTACTGAGGCCATATGGCAGCAGACATTGCTATAAATCTCTGGGGTTTTGATCTATTACAGCAATGGAACAGATTAACATTCCTCCTGTATCAGATATGTATCATAAACAAGCCCTTGATGGTAGAAAAATATTGTAAGTCACTTCAGAAAACAGATGTCAACCATGCAGGCTGTACAGAGACAGGATGCTAGTGCAAAAACTACAGAGGAACCAAAAGCCCTACCCTTAAAATGGCTAACAGATGAACGTGTCTGGGTAGGTCAATGGCCTATGACCTCTGAGAAGCTAGAGGATTAGGTAAGCTGGTTCAGGAACAGCTAAATGCTGGACATATAGAAGACTCTACCAGTCCGTGGAATTCTATTGTATTTGTTTTCAAGAAATTTGATAAATGGAGGATGCATAGTGATCTGGGTGCCATCAATAAAGTAATTCAGCCTATAGGATCTCTAGAGCCTAGGATGTCATTGCCTTGTTTGATATCTAAAGGATGGCCTATTATAGTAATTGATCTAAAAGATTGCTTCTTCAATATACCTTTACAAGAAAAAGATAGGGGAAAATTTGCAATCATAATACATTCCTGTAACAATTCTCAACCAGTTAGGTAATTTCAAGGGAAGTTCTTGTAATGGGGAATGTTGAATAGTCCTACTTTGTGCCAGTATTTTGTGAAAAAAAAACTTTGGAAACAATTTACAAACAATTTCCTCAATCCATCATTTACCATTATATGGATGACATACTTTTGGTTGATTCGAAAGAAGGAACATTGGAAAAGATGTTTGAGGCAGTAAGAAAATTTTACCTCGCTGGGGATTACTGATTGCCCCTGAAAAAATACAAAGAGGAGATTCTATTAACTATTTAGGTTATAAAATAGATGTACAAAAAAATTAGACCACAAAAAGTACAGATCAGGAGAGATCCTTTCCAGACTCTTAATGACCTTCATAAACTCCTAGAGGTGGGGCCTAGAAAAAGGGAAGTTGGATCCATAGTGGTAAGTCCTTGGAAGAGATACTAGCCTATGTAAGGACATCAAATTCATTCCTATGGGTTTTTTTTTAACCAATGTGCTGCATATACACAGAACCAAAACAAAAGGGCTGAGTTGATCACAGCCCGAGACCTCTGAAAGCAAGAGCAAAATGAAACTTTCCTTCTTGAACATGGATTGGGCACAGCTCAAGTAACAGAAGCTGTCAATTTTGCTACCATGAACATCCCAATTCCCGCAAAGGGCTTTCAAGATTGTGCCTGCCTTCACTCTGCTCTAGGTTGTAGATAGTCTCGCTTTACTATGCATCAATAACCACAGTATATTGACCTCCACCCCTCACCTTCCCTTCCTTCAGCCTTCCCATTTTTAGGGATTTGTGTAACTTTATATCATTGACTTTCAAGAGAAGAAAATGAGGAACAGAAAGAAATAGCTTTGACCGTGCTAGTCCTTTGAGCCACAGCTCTAAAACAACAGCTCTTGTTCTTTTAAATATCTTCATTCTTTATTAGTCACAAAATAGGATGATTTCTCTGTTAGTTACTTTCTGCCATTGAGATAATAACACTACAAATCAATATATACAAGAAAGTGTTTATTTTAATTTATGATTCCAAAGGGATAGAAGTCCCTCGTGGCAAGGAGGTTATGGCAACAAGCATCAGGCGTGGTAAGAGGAAGCAGAGATTTCACATCCTCAAAGCACAAAGCAGAGAGTGAAATGGAAGTAGGGTGAGGCTTCTAAGTCTCAAATCCCAGACCAGTGATGTGCTTCCTCTGTTAAGGATACATTCCATAATCCTCCTCAAGGAAAGTTATCAACTGGAAGCCAAATGTCCAAATTCCTGAGGCTAGGAGGGGCAGTCCTCAATCAACTTTGTTTTTTGGGTACCTTAAATTTGATGAACCCCAATTTTATATCACACTCTAAAACTGTCTACATTTTTCATTTGTTTGCAAATGGGGAAGTACAGATACAGATGCACAGATTAAGATGACATGGGACTATGATAACATAGGTTAATTTTATTTGGGGAGAAGTCACTTACATGAGAAACCAATAACCCACAAGTTCCATTTCCAAGGATCCACACTGCTGCTCTCTGTGACTCATCTGGAACCAAGAGAGAGCAAGACATCCCAGATCCCAGACCAAATCCCACATGCTAAAACACGTACCTGTGACCATGCCTGAATGGGTGTGTCAGTGCCACAGGGAAGGCTGCTTGGATCTCTCACTACATGCAGAAGAGGGCACAGGACGGGAATCAAACCACCTAATCAGGCTTGGTGGCAAAGATCACCTTCCACTGAGCCTTCTAGCTGGTTCCTCTTTAATGGTTTTACTCTAAGATGATTTTGGAAATTAATAACCATGTGCTTTGAAGACACATGAGTAAAATGAACACTGGGCCAATAACACATAGCCCTATGTCTACAAAGGAATTTGGAAAGGACTGACTTTCTCAAATACTTGCTTTTAAAAGGGAGTTTCCTTACCATATTTGAAACCCTAGGGGAAAAAGTTCCAACCATCTTTGCTACATGATTTTAAATAACCTGATTAAATTTATCAGTTGTCTAAACAAAATGATATAAGTAATGATAGAACAGATTGAAAACAACAGATGACACATTAATTAATGAGAAGTCTATGTTTGGAAGCATCATGTCTAGAGTGAAAAAGACAGAGAGTTGACAACTCCCAAATAGATAAAGGGATATGCAAATGTCTTGCACATAGATAGGATAAATTCAAACACATTATTTCAGTGCAACAAAACCAAGGTGTAAATTTTCAGTTCTAAATACCAACAATGAAGCATAAATTCAATGAAACTGAATAGTGTTTAAGGAATGGGAGAGTTTAAACACTATTGAAGATACGTGAGAAACACATGATATGTTTTAATTGAGTTAAAAAAGAAAAGGCTATTTGCAAGTGAAGAAAGATTTAATGTTCAGTGTGGGAGCTATTAGAGTCTTCCCTGGGAAAAATCTTAAGTGCTACTTCAATGTTTTGAAAAATGCTATGAGTAAATATTTTTATAAAGTGTGAAATAATTTTGAGGTCCATAAGGATAAGAAAAGAGTTCCTATAGTACCTCTCATGATTGAAATGAAACCAAATGTACATTGCACATGGTCTTGCGCAGGCCAATAGAAACCTCATTAGAGCTTAGTTTTGAGTGTTCCATCCTTTTCGATCTCAGGACTTCTGTGCACATCTATGCATTTGATTTTCTTCTCTGTGAGATTCGACTCTGCAAGTTCAATTTCTGGACAGTCAGTTTCCCCAGGGAGTTGGCGCTTTCTCACCAGTAATACAACGAAGACTGCTGGGAGGTAGCTTGATCCTCTTAGAGCTGCTGGCAACCCAAGGTAAATGCGCCTATTGAAAACAACTAATCTGTATTATTTCTTAACATGTTCAGTGAAAGCCAATTTTGTGTATTCTCACAGATCATTTATTCTTCAAAAAATTCAGGTGATTATTTTGCATATTTACATAATCTACTTTGCGGAGTTATTAATTCTTTTTGTTAAAATGTCAAAAAATTTCCAACCTACAAGTTTAGATGTATTTCTTCATTTTGATGATGGCTAGTTTCCACTGTCAACTTGACTGGATTAGGATCATTTTAGAAGTACATCCCTGGGTGTGTCTGTGAGAATCTTTTCCATAGGTTTAACTGAGGATGAAACTCCTAACACAGCATGCAACATGATCAGCCTCCTCACTCTCTGCCACCATGCAGCCTCTACCATTACCACACACTAGGCCGTAATTCTGCCATTATTGTAAAGTCTCTTCAATACTGAGCCAAAACCTAACCCTATATCAGGGTAAGGGAACTATTGTTTTCTATCTTGTTTGCCCCGGTTTTGATTACACATATGTCAAACAAAATACCGTTACTTTTCAACATTTTTCTCCTATTCAGCATTTGCAAGTTGTATTACACAGGTAGTCTTTTGTAATACTGAAATCCTTCTATATCTACAATAGATCAAATTAATAATTTTTATGTATTAGTATATTCAATATGTGAATTTTCATGCATTAATTTGCTTGTGTGATCAATTTATCAAATAACTTTTTACTACTATTAACTATGTGTACGTTTAGGGTCTCTGTGTAGGTATGAATCCATGAGTCCTACATGCCTGGGGGTTGTAGTAATGGGAAGTTGTAAGCTGCCCAAGGTGGGTTATGGGAATTGAACACATGTCCTTTGCAAGAGCAATAGGTGATCTTAACACCTGAACCTACTCTTCAACCCCAAATTCTTTTCATTTGCTGAACTTGTCCAGTCTAAGCATGAAGACTGTAGAAACTTCTTGAAATAAATTAGGTAATTTTCCCTTTCACATCATCTTAGAAGTACTTGTAAGCTGTTATAAGCATTTGCTCTTTGTAAATTAAAAGCTTATTGACTTAATGTATTTGTGAAATGGGTGGTTTTGACATATGAATATTTCTAAATTACTATGAAAAACCTTTCATGTTCTCAGTAAAAGCTGGTTTTGTATATAACTCTGTCAGCTTCACACAATGTAGAATATCCTGGAAAGGAAGTTTCATTATGGCCTATGTGGATTATGTCTATGAGAGATATTTTGATGACATTAATTGGGGTAAGAAGACCCAGTTCACAGTGGGTGACACAACTCCTTGAGCAGGAAATGCTGAGCTAAGTAAGCATAGAGAAAATGATTGTGGCTACTTCTATAGTGGAAATGTATATGTGGAGAATGTGTGTATGGATGCTTAAGACTTCGGATATAACAGTCTAGAAATACAACTGAGATTTTTCTAGATGGATAATAGATTAATTAATATCTTCATTTATTTACCTGCCACTGTTATAAAAGACCCTGACAAAATCAATTTGAGAAATATGGCGTGAATTTGCTCACAATTCTGGGTGTGTCAAGTAACTTGAACTTTAATCCACACAGATACAATGGCAGAAGTAGTTGAACCCTTCTACGCTGTTACTATGGGAATGCGAGTCTGAGAATGGTGTATCAGCCAGTCTAAACCATACACACTTGGGAACAGGGCAACGGTCAGCCCTTTTCTTTCCCAGAATCTTTCAGTATCCTCCTCACCCAGAAACAGAGCAGAACTAGGACATAGCTAGAGAGGGCCAAAATTCCCTTTGGCTGAAGTTATTTTAAGATCAAGGGGAAGCACAGTTCAGACTGTAGCAAAGTTTCTCTGTGGGCTTTCTTGGGCCTGCTGTCCTGGAGGGACAGCAAGGGGACAGCAAAAGTGTGGTTCAAGATGAGCTTAGCATGATCCCCGGGTGTGGAGTAGCAGTGAACCCATAGTCCTTTCACTCCACTGTCAGTGACAGGTGCCTGTGGAGCACTGAGTGGTGGAACCAGGCACTGACTGCTTTTACTTCATCAAAAGCCTGAAAGCACAGACAACTGGATCTACCCAGGTCTCAAAGGCCAGGCTCCCTGGACTGCTGGTTCTTGAGGAAAATGGCTTCAGTTGTTTCAATATGTGGCAACCTCCTCTCCCTTTGAGACACTCTCAACTTGTTTGTAAGACAATCATTCTACTGGACCACGCTGTGTTCATGGTGCAGCCAACCACTAAGTGCAGTGGAGTATCTATGGCTTCCCAGAGATAAGAATGGTAGTGAAATACAGATAGCAGGTCCCTTATCAAGATAGTCCTGTGCTATAGCACCCAAAACGGTTTGTAAAATTGCAAGGGCAGTGCACCAATTTAGGTTCTTACTATATCAGGCCATAAGCGTGAGAGGCTGTGAACTTTCCAGGAGCCATAATTCCAGGATCTGCCTGAATGTGCTGACTGTCATGCAGATTCCTATGGAAGGGAAGAGTCCTCCTCTCTGACTTAGGTATTAGGAAGCTCCCTCTTTCATATATATATATATACATATATATGTGAATATATGTGTGTCTGTGTGTGTCTATGTGTATGTGTGTGTATGTATGTATGTATGTATTAAGCACTTTAGAAAAATGGGAAATAATAAAATACACAAATAGGAAAGTTATACCATCCATGGGCATTCTGAAAATGAAGGCTAATGTAATGTTACCACTCAAGAAAATGTTAGATATGAATGAGCACATTTTATGCACTACAAAAGTAGGTCTCAAAATTATCTTCTCGTTTGGGTCTGGATTGATGATTCAGTAGTTAAAAGTCCTGGCTATTCATCGAGAGGACCCAGATTCAATTCTCAGAACCCACATGGCAGCTTAGAAACTGCATGTAGCTCTACCTCCAGGGAATCTGACACTGTCACACAGGCATACATGCATGCAACATACCAATGCGCATAAAGTAAAAATAAATAAATCATTTAAAAATTTATCTTTACCTGAAGTTATGTATATCATATATCCTGCATGCCCCTGGCTCCCCACATTTCAGAGTTCCCCAGTGTAAACAGGTTCTGTCTATCAAGGCACCAAAGTAAATAGGAGCCGGAATGCCAGCTGCAGTGAAGAGAGAAAGAAACGCAACCAATTGACAGGGAGGAAGAAGAGAGAGAGAGAGAGAGAGAGAGAGAGAGAGAGAGAGAGAGAGAGAGAGAGAGAGAGAGAGAGAGAGGTGTTATTGTATTTGGAAGTACCTCACTTTCTCTCTTAAAAAACAAATCATGAATCAACGACTCTACACTTACGTTTAGAAATTGTAAGTTAATCAAATGTTTCTAGATCACAACAAATGTAAACTATGTATAAGATGCTAAGAAAGCGTCCATTGAGTTTATAATCATGAGCTTTGTGAATTTTCTGAAATGTCTTGTACTGTTCTTCAATACATCTAACAGAAACATTTTCCTTCTCACTATATCGTTAAATCTACTAAAAGATGAAAGGTGTAATTAAGTTCAGGTAAGCTCTTTAAAGACAAGGTGAAACATTTATCATCTCTGCAGTTACTTCATTCTCAGACTAATTACAAGCTGCTATTTCTAAACACAAGGACTTGTGAACTGAAGGTCAGGGTAATGTGGCCCGAGCACATGTATGTTAATCATGCCACAGGTTCATCAGAATATCCTGCATGTAGACAGTTGGGATATTGAAGATTCAAATTATCTTTACCTCTCTTATTCTTCATTTGTTGCGCCACCCCTGTGTCTGATCTCATATCTCTGTGAGGATTACATGAAACCTTTAGGGATGTTTGAATTACTAGGTTGCTAGCCTCTACTGACACAAACATTAAGAATTCCATCAGATTATTTCTGAGCCCAGAGAAGAGAACTCCATTCTTTGCTGTCACCAAACTCCTAGATATATTTGAGAAGTGCCTTATTCATGACTTCCTTTCTTCTCCAACTACAAACATCACAAAACTATAACCATGTTGGAACCTGATATTTTGATGACCTGAATCTATGTCCCCACATTATGGTGACTCACGTTTGATTCCAGAACAAAACCAAGCCTATTTCCTTTAAGGTAAGGGTTGTGTTTTGGGTTGACAACAGAGTTGCTGTGTTTTTATTAAGAGAAAAATGTTTATTAAGTATTTACTATTGATGTAATATTTAGGAAAACTTCATACCAAATATTCTTGTACAAAATGCATGTAGTCCAATTCCAAGTGACTTCTCCTCAGACTTGATACACCTGAAAAATGCATACACACATCTTAAAGTTCATCATGCCAACCCTTATCTGTACTAGCATCCTCCCAATGACAGTCATATTTTATGACCCTGATGGTTAAGCTTTTATCTTGAAGCAAGGATAATGGAACTCTGCTGTTCTACTGTTGGCACCACACAGAGGAAAGAGAATATGACATCTGAAATCTGTCCTCTGTCCTCCACACATCTAAAGCAGGCTGGAACTCATTTAATGGTTAGACATTGGTTGCTAACCAAGATGAATAGCTTCCTGGTTATCATGGTGAACACCAAGCTATCCCAGCATAATTGACCCAAAACTTTGAAACCACAAACCAGATAATCCTTTCTTCTCTTAAATGGTTTGCCAGGTATTTTTGTCATGTTGATTAAAAAAGCTAACACATATAAAAATTCAAGATATGGTAAAGGCATTTCCACATATACACAGAGAAAGACTCCATTGTGTAGACTATGACACTAAGATAAGGCCTTTGTTACATGAAGTCAACAACTTTACATGTTTGTCTTTCCTGTAATGCCTACAAGGATGGAAAAGATGGTTTTGGGAATTACAAAGGGGGAAGCTTATAAATCAGTCAGGATAAAAATTCTAAAAATATTTTTAATAAATTAGGAGTGTGGAAATCCTTTTAAAATATGGTCTCTTCCCACCTTGGATAAGAAAAGCATAATAAATGTGAATGTTGTAATTTCATTTTGGAAGGGATTCCATGACAGAGTTCAAGGAAAACAATAGACTACAAGAGTAATAGTATTGTTCAAACAGTAGCAATGCATTATCCAGCATTCACATCACAATCATCAAATTCACCAAGAAAGAGCAAAGAAATGTGAGAACAATAATTTGAATAGACCTTAACCCCATTGCATCAAGAAATCACACATTATGGCCTACAAGATGGCTCAGTGAGTAAAGTTGCTTGCCTTCAGGCTTTACAAATGGAGTTCCACATGGTGGAAGGAGAATCAACTCCTGCAAGATGTCATCTCATTTCAACATGTGCGCGCGCACACACACACACACACACACACACACACACACACACACACACACACACAAACTTTTAACAATCACACATTAAAACATTTATGAGCCACGTTGTTTAAATGTCAGAAGGTAAGATAATTGGAAAAGTAGGGAACATGGAAGTAGGAACAGGCATGCAGTAAACATGAGAACATCTCTAGAGAATGCATGGAGGTTTTAATGGTAGAGTATAACTGTTCTCATGCCCTCACCTGTGACCATCCTCCTCTATGAGCAAAACTCATCCTTATCAACTGAGAACACTGCTTTAGAACAGAGGCCCCTGAATTAGTGTAGGAGAAAGGAGACACCATGGAGCCACATCAGCTGAGCCATCCTGGCACATGATAGGGAGACAGATGTCACAGTCAATTCTCCCTCGCTTGTAATAATAAGTCTTCAGAACTAGCAGTATTTGGTGCCTTTATCTGTCCATGAACAGATATACCACATCCACATTTGGAATATAAAAATACTGTTTACAATGGAAAATTAATATATAAACTCATATATCTAACCTATTATATAATGAGGTCTACCAAAGGTAGAATCAGGAGAAAGAAAGAACCAAGGGGGGAAGGAAGGCAAGGGAAGAGAAGGGGAGGGGAGGGGAAAAGGGAGGAGGAGGAAAAGGGAGAGGACAGGAGAGGAGATGAGCTGGGAAGCAGGGGAGGGGAAGAGAGAATTAAGACTAAGGTGAGAAAAGAAGGAAAACTGAGGAGGAGGAATAGGGACAGGGATTTGTTAGAGAAGGAAAGGGGCGGGCACATTGGGACTATGGGTAAGACAACAGAAAGCACAGAGAAAAGGAGGGAGGAGTGAGAATCTTGGTCCAGTCTCTGGATAAAATAATGGAAATGTCAAATGTCATGTAGCATTGTAGCATTGTGGTTACTCAACTTTACTTCTCAATTCCAGTGACTCCAGTAAAGGTAGGATTGAACTGTTTTCGCATTGTTAGTGGATATGAAGCTTGTTAGACTGGAAAGAATGCCAGCTAAAAAAATGACTTGAAACTTGGCTTTGAATGTGTAACGCTTTATGTTAGAAACTTGAGTATCTGCTGATGCATTCCTGTACCTCCTTGTTAGACAGGACCTGCTATTGCATTCATGTTTTTCTGCTAAAGAGAAATTGAGCTCTGGATGTCTGGTCCCTTTTACCCGGAGAGTTTCACACTCTGTCAGCCAGTTATCTGAGCCATAGGAAATGAGTGCTACAAAATTTCCCACTCCTGCCAGTACAAAACACCATGCATATATGATGAAGACATGAGGGCATGGAAAAGGGCAGGAAGGAAAATACCAGCAAACTTCGAATTATTGTTTAGTCCATCAATCCTCAGCATAAGAGTCTTGATAAAGGTATCTTAGAGCACTGAGGTTCTGGAGACCATGACTCCAAGGACCTGTCTTGGGAAAATGAACTTTAGTAAATGACCGAAGAATCTAAATGGTTTTGGCCGGGCACTTGGTGTGTAAAGGTGCTTGGCACAAAGCTTATAAAACCTGAGTTTAATACCCAGAACCCAGGAACATAAGAAAAGAATAAATTAAAAAAGCCCAACTCAGTGGCATGCATTTGTAACTCCAGCGTTCCCACAGTGAAGTAGAAGAAACGAGAAGTGCTTGGGAATTTGAAGGCCAGGTATGATAGAATACAAGGCCAGAATAGCAGCAGAAAAAAATAGAGATCCTACCTCAAAAACAAAATGAATGGAGAGAACTATTCCCCAATGTCTTCTGACCTCCCCACCCAGGAGCACACACACACACACACAAACACACCACACACGCACGTGCGCACCCACGCACACACTACTAAAAACGAGAATAGAGGAAGCTAAATTAACAAGTTACTTATTACCTCAGAAGAACCATATACCCAGGAATGGCTGATAGAGAGTAGATGAAACAGCCAATTAGTGACATGATCAAATAGTACTGCAGATTGACAGTACAGTCAGGGCCTTTCTTACACAGCCCAAGGACTGCAGATGAGTTTCCTGAAGACCGAATGCAGCTGCAGTTTTGAAACACCTGTCCAAAAAGAAAGTGTCCTAAATAAGGCAGGAAAATGTTGGACAACAACCTTCAGTATTTTCTACAAGGCCAGTTATGTCAAAATGGAGAATGTAGGGGTCAAATACATGGCTGATAGGAACAGCTCTCATCTAGTTTGAATGAGGACCCTAGTTTGAGCACAAATACCACTGAATAAAAAAGACTAAATAAGTACAATGGAGGTTCCTGTCTCCTTTATTTCCATCTCCTTTTTTGGTGTCTCAGAATTCTACTATAAAATATAAGGGGGTAGATTTTTTAAATGGTAATTTTTTTCTAAATGCGTGGAGTAATTTGCAAAAATAATCAATTATCCTGAATGCACACTCTATTTTATTTTTTATATTTATTTTCAAGTTTGTTTGATTTTTCTTTGTGGGTATAAATGCATATGTCTGTGTGTGTGTGTGTGTGTGTGTGTTCATATGTGTGCATATGTATGTCTATGTGTGAACATGTATGTGCCAGGACTATATGTAGAAGTTAAGGAATAAATTATGCAACTAACTTCTATCCTTCTACAATGTGGGATGTATTTCTGGTGTTAAAACTTGGTGGCAAACACCTTTACCCAGTAAGTCAACATCCTAGATCTACAAATACCCTTTAAAAAAGTAAATACACACTTCTCTGTTTTGTGTTAGCCTGCTATTTAAGTATGTAAGCAAAATGTGTTTCAGAATGCTGATAGAATAGTCAGGTACTTAACTAATAACATCATGTCTCCAAGAAAAGAGTTTATTTCTACAATAAAGTCAATTCTTTTCTTAATTGTTGTTTTGGGGTCTGATTAAGAATCAAAATTTATATTTCATTTTGATGACCAACCAATTGTGTATTATAACATGTTTAAGGCAAGGAAAAGTAATTAGTTCTTCATCTGTTAGACTATGATGATGTGGGGCTACGGAGATGGCACAGTCTGAAAGTCCTGCACAAACATGAGGACCTGAGTTCAGATCCCCACCACATATGAGCACACATGCACTTTCAGAAGATGTGCTTGCAACTCTGCTGCTCAGAAGGTGGGAACAGGTGACTCCCTCGGGCTCACTTGCCAGGCAGCCTAACAGAATCAGCAAATTACAGGGCAGTGAGATCCTGTCTCAAAAGCACAAAGAGGATATGGCCTGAGTCAACAGCTGGGGTTGCCTTCTGGCCCCCATACGCATATGTGCCTGCGCATCTGCACACACACATGTGTGCGCACACACACACACAATAAATAAATGAATAAATGAAAGGATAAGTTTATCCCCACCTCAACTACATGGCTAGTGTGAGGTCAACCTGGGCTCCTGGAGAACCTACCTCATAAACAGGAAGATTCTGTCCAGAGTATTTTAAAGGTATAATGTTAAATGTTCATTCCTATGCATGCTTCTGTGTCTGTGTGCATTCAGACAGGTGCATGTGGGTGTCTGAGGAAGGCAGAAGACAGTGTCAGTGCCAGGAGCTGCAGTTGTGAGCTGCCCTGTGTGGGTGGTGGAAACTAAACGGGTCCACTGAAAAACCAGGAAGTGCTCTTAACAACTCAGCTAGCTCTCCAGCTCATCCTGAGAATTTTAACTCCAATCATTTGAATAGTGGTCTCAACTGCTTTGAAATTACAAGATAATTTCAAATATCAAATATCATGAAATTATAATGTCAAGTATGAATGTATAAAATATATTCAGTTGCTCATAAAAATATATTAATCTATATTAAGCATGGGCTAATTTTTGCTTTTTAGTAGGCGGGGCCTAGGTAGCACATGTTAATATACTACACAAAACATCAGCCCAAGACAAGAAAAGGGGGTTTACCATGTTGATTCCTGTTCCAATAGACTTCTCACAGCCTGCAAGGCAGGCTGAAATGTATGCGAGGCCATCATCTCCACACACCGGATCCCATGTTTTGGTTAAGCAGTTACACCTTGTGTTGCAGTCATCAAGGACATTATTCTCCACATATAATGGCTGTTGAATTCTGAAATGATTTTAAATAATGTTAGGAATACCAAAAAGCTACCCAAGCACTTAATTTTCTTCTCTTATCTTTATCTCAGTACACACCCACACACACACCCACACACAGAGAGAGAGAGAGAGAGAGAGAGAGAGAGAGAGAGAGGCAGAGACAGAGACAATTCATTTTCTCCCCACATTTAATTATATGTAATTACTCATGATTTTATCATACAAAATCTAAGACTACAGAGTATACAAGATATATCTATACCAGTGACATGCATATAAATATATTCTTAATAGACTTACAATGTATTAGATACAATTGTGCTAACTTTGAGCCCATTATAGAAACCTATGAAGGCTTGCTGGCCTGTATATTCAACTTTTAAAGTTACCTATTGATGGGAGTATAACATAGATAGATAATGTAGACTAAAAAACTCTTGGTGGTTTTCCTTTATTACACTTTAAAGGAGACTTTGATATCATCATGATGACCATGTATATTCTTGTGGAATCATAAACTTACTCACTGGTAGTCCCCAGAACTTTTTAATAAGCTTACAACTCATACCGGCTGATATAAGAATGAAGAGTAGAATAAAAATACAAGAAAACCATGGATCACTGCTACCAAGTTACAATAAAATAAACTTGTCGTACATAATCATTGAAGAAAATGGACTAGACACTGTAAAAATATTATGATCTCCCTTAGGAAACAACATACCCTTCATAAGAGGTAGTTAAGCCAGCAACTGGGAAATTGTCACAGGTCCACATAAAGTTAAAGAAAGATAGAAGATACTCAATCAGGGATAGGCAGAATGCTATGTACGCAGCTTTCTTGACAGTAATCTTGAACTTCTTCATAATCAAGCCACCAATTATATATCCAACACATATTGGAGGTAAGTTATAAAGACCTATAAACATGAGTAAATACTATTAAAATCAGCATAAAATAAATGTTATCAATCTGTCTAATACATCTTACTTAAGAAACTAATTTGGCTATAATATAAAGTGATCTTAACTCCTACAGGCTCACACATTAAATAAAAAAGTGATTTTCAAATGTCCCATAATGTCACTTTAAAAAGACTACTGCCATTTACTGAATCATTTGCAGCATGTTATATACAAGTATCACAGAGAGAGAGAGACACAAACACATGTATGTGATAACAGATATTTCATGTATCTCTATCCACTCTGTTGGGAATTTGACTCAACGCAAGGCGATTTAGAATGTCACTGTTAAATCCGTACTTGTCAACTGCAGAGTATTCTATGCATTGTTGATACTGTCCAAAACTCTTCCTTTCTGGTGTCCCTTCCCCTGACAAAAATCAAAGCAAAGAAGAAAGAAGAAGAGAAAACCCCAACTAGGTTGCATTCAGATAACACAAGCCCCAGACATGAGACAATTTAAGCCATTGTTTGCAACTCAATACCATTGCATTTGATTTTATACAACTAAAGGTAAGTCCTGGGATTTTGTAGGAGCTTCCACAAAATTCAAAATAATGAGGATGTAATCAGCCTATGATCGTCAATTGTCAAGAGAAAAAAAAAAACAGGAAAATCCCAAAGGGCTTAGGACCCATGGGTTTAGTGTACTAACAAGAAAAGCAGAGTGTGGCTCAGAATCCTCAGACCACCAGGGAACAAAGTAACTGAAATGTGAAAGGCAAGAATTGAAGCCCAGAAATAAAATCTGGAAGATGCAGAATCCCAGTGAGTTGACTCTATGCATCTTTGAATTAACATATCACTTCTTGAAAATTGACTGATATGGGTATCCTGCAAGATTTCCATGATGACAACAATTTCCATTCTTACTGGAGAGATAATAAAGACGATATTTCTTGCCTCTTCCTTTTCCTACCTTTTCTCGATTTCCCTGGAGACCGGAAAGAAGAAATTCACAAGAATACCCCAACATTTCATTTTTGTGGTAGTCTCCTAGTCACATTGTCTTACTGTTTATCTAGCCCTTGCCGATACTGCTTATCACGTCCTTGTGGGAGGGAGAAGTTTTGCAAAAGAAACAATGAGATTTCATACCTATGAGAAAGACTATCTCTGCAGTTGATTTTCCATACTGCTGTTCCAGATACTTAGGCATGAAGGTAAATGAATTGATAAACGCGTTGAACTGGAGCACACTTACAAGGATGAAAAGCATGTAAACTGGGTTGCAGGACAGGCTCTTCATGAATGGTAAGAAATCTGAAACAAGAGAGTGCCGAGACAATTAGGCTAACTTTGCCTCGAATTTTGTGTCCAGTGTCCTCCTAAAATCTCACAAAGTCTATGCTGTGACACAAATATATTTGATAAATCCTTACCCCCTTGGGAATAATGTTATATATTATTGTTTTAGTGGCTTCTGAAAGTTAGTGGCACAAGTGGCTATATGAGAATCAGAACCCAATTATGTCATCAAGAAAACTCTAAGGAGATAGGGACACATCTATGGCTGTACAGTTTCATTTCGCTTTCTTTCTTTTCCTTCTGTTAACATCCTGTATTCACTACAGATTGACTAGTCTGCCCTGAGGTCCGCAAGGGACTCTCTTCGAAGAAGTGTGAGTCCAAACACTGATGTTTTCAATCCTTTGTGTAAGAAGAGATACGCTAAAAAACTGAGGAAGTCTACAGGGATTACTCTACAGCTCAGTCAACTTCAGCATCCCTGCAGCATTTCACAACACAACACTCATTAGAAGCACCTAGTGATGTTTTTAAATATATCAATAAGAGGATGTCACTTTAAGGATTGGTGACTTGCTTTGTATATACCAACAACCTTCCAAATGACTTAATCAGAACTACTCCCTATTTTAAAACCTGAGAGTTAAGTTTGTAGCCTGTCTCTAGTAAATGGATTGAATCTGAAGGAAGATAATGTACTTCTCACTAAATAGTCTCTTTCGTTTTCCTGTCTTCGTGTTTCCTGTCTTGATTTTCTAATTTTACACTATCCTTAATAAATTACCTAAAATTTCTGGAGCACAAAGTATAAACAAGAAACCATTCCTAAGTTAAGACAGAGCAGTTTAATAAAAAGGTAACGAACTCTAGTGGCAAAATCCATCTTTATGAATGAGCGAGCTATAGTCAGAATTCCTAGTAGGTTTGAACTCACCCTTGTTTGTTTACATGTCTGTTCGCCTAAATGAGTATCCACAATTCATATTGATTTTACTATATGTCTTACAATATTCTAAGTTCCTTCCTAGTTTTGAAAATCAGGTTTCCCTGGCAGGTCACACAATTGCACATAGCATTCAGTATTAGCTACTTCAAGAGAATCATGGCAATAATTCTAAGAATATACAAATCTCCGAATTGGCTACCAGTGCCCCCACAACTTTATTACAATCCTCAACCACTCAGCTTCACCATGCCCTAGGCCCCAAGTGGAGCAAAGACTCTCTGCTCTACCAGACACAACAGCTATAAGAATCCCAGCCCCCAACACAGGGAGAGAACACTTTTCAACCACAAGCCAAACTGACCAGAAGACAAGAGAGCAAACACAAACCGAGAAACAAAACACCCATCCAATGAAGACAAACACAGAAGTCAGAACCTACACCTATAATCACCTCAAACCTAGATGACTAGACACCAGCATAAGAAATAATAAAAATCATCAAAGGAAATATGTCAACACCAGAGCCCAATTATCCCAATACACCAAATCCTGAATATTCCAACACAGAAGCACAAGAAAATGGCCTTAAAACAACCTTACAAAGATGATTAAGGTCCTCAGAGGAAATGAATAAATCACTCAAGGAAATCTAGGAAAGACAATCAAAAAATAAGAAGAAACAAGTAAATCTCTTAAGGAAAGCCCAGTGTGAAGAAAATAGGTAAGTGAACAGGAACTACAGACACAAGCATCAGCAATGGGATGCAAGAGACAGAAGACAGAATCTCATGTGTTGCAGATATGCTAGAAAAAATAGACATATTTGTCAAAGAAAATGGTACACCTGAGAAAGCCCCCTAACAGAAAACATTCAGGAAATCTGTGATATTATGAAAAGACCAAACCTAAGAATAATAGAAGAAGAAATACAGTTCAAAGGTCCAGAAAATATCTTCAACAAAATTTTAAAAGAAATTTTGTCTAACTTTAAAAAAGGCAATGCCTATAAGAACTTCATAGAACAACAGGTAGATTGGACCAGAAAAGAAAGTCCCCATACCACAAAATAATCACAACACTAAACATACAGAACAAAGAACAAATATTAAAAGCTACAAGGAAAAAAAGAACAAGTAACATATGAAGGCAGACCTATTAAAATTCCATCTGACTTCTCTTGGAGACTCTGAAAGCCAGAAGGGTTGAAGAGATGTATTGTAGACTCAGAGACAACAGATTCGAGCCAAGACTAATTTACTCAGCAAAACTTTAAACCATCATAGAAGGAGAAAACAAAATGGAGTCAGATGTAAACAATATTTTTGCACAAATTCAGCCCAACAGAAGGTACTACCAGGAAAACAACACAGGAAGATGAACTATGCCAAAGAAAGCACAAGAAACAAACAGCCTCACACAAGCTTAAGCAAAATAAAGGAAACACACACACACACACACACACACACACACACGCACACTCCACCACCACTAACAACAAAAACAACAGCAACCTAACAATCATTAGTCTTGGATATCACTGAGTATCAATGGGCTTAATCCCCCAATAAAAAGACACAGAGCAACAGAATTGATGCAAAAACAGGATCCATCCTTCTGCTACATATCAGTAACACAATTCAATCTCAAAGATAGATATTACCTTAGAAAGGGCACAGAAAGATGTTTCAAGCAAATGGATGTAAGAAACAAGCTGGTGTAGCCATTCTAATATCTAGCCAAATAGACTTCAAACCAAAATTAATCAAGATAAATGGAGAAGAAGACTTTGTACTCCTGAAAAGAAAAATCCACCAAGATGATGTTTAAGTCCTTAACATCCATGACACAAATGCAAGGGCAGCCAGGCTTGTAAAAGAAATACTAACGAAGCTAAATCACATTCTGAACCTCACACATTGATAATTTGAGACTTCAATATCCTAATCTAATCAACAAAGAGGGGATTCAGACAAAAACTAAACAGAGACACACTGGAGCTAACAGACACAGTGAACCAAACAGACTTAGCAGACATTATGGGGGATGTCCTTCTCTGTGTTGTAAATATATGTTTCTCTTATTTGTTGATGAATAAACCTATTTTTGGCCAATGGAAAGGCAGGATTTAACAAGGAGGGAAATCCAAATAGGGATAGAAAAAGGTAGAATGTCCAGTCAAGGAGATGCGATGTAGCTGCAGAGGAAGCAGTAGACCCAGGGATCGCCAGTAAGCGAAGACCACATGGGAATCCACAGATTAAGAGAAATAGGTTAATAATTAAGAAATAGCTATCTAATAAGAAGCCTGAGCAATTGGCCAAACATTTTGTAATTAATATAAGCCTCTCTGTGTTTATTTAGGGCTAAACAGCTGTGGGACTGGGCAGGACTGAAACTTCCATCTACACGGATGCGTACAGAGCATATCACCAAAACACAAATAATAAACCTTCTTCTCATCAATTCACAGAATTTTCCCTAAAATGGACCACATATTCAGTCACAAGCAGTTCTCAACAGATACAAAAAATTGCAATAACCTCTGCTTCCTATGAGACCACCATGGATTAAAAATGGATTTCAACAAAAATAAAAAATAGAAAACCTAAAAACTTGTGGAAACTGAACAACTCCATACTGAATGACTACCAGCTGGGTCAAGGCAGGAAAAACAAAGAGATTAAAAACTTCCTAAAGTCGATGAAAATGAATGCCAACATACGCCAAACTTAGGGGACACAATAAAAGTAATATTAAGAGGAAAATTCATAGCACTAAGTTGCTACATAAAGAAATCAGAGACCTCTCATACTAGCAACTTAACAACAACATGAAAGCTCTAAGAAAAAGTGGCTTCATTCATAATTTACAGAAATTAGAAACAACCTAGATGTCCCTCAACAGAAGAATGGATAAAGAAGATGTGGTACATTTACACAATGGAATATGTCTTACCTGTTAAAAACAAAATGACAACGCAAAATATGAAGGAAAATGCATGGAATTAGAAAAAAATAATCCTGGGTGACGTAACCCAGACCCAGAAAGATAAACATGGCATTAAGTAACCATAAGTGGCTATTAACTGTTGAGCCAATTATAATCAGACTATATTCCACAAACCCAGAAAGGCTAAGTAACTAGGAGGTCTCTCTAAAAGGAATTAGTGGATCTTCTTGGGAAAGGAAACAGAATAGATTTTGAGAGTGGACTGGGGATAGTTGGGAATAGGAACAGGAGTGATCCACTGAGAGGGAGTAATGGAGGGAGAGAATAAGGGGAGAAATGGTTGGCATCAGTGGGCATTCGGTTAGGTGATGTGGAAACCTAGTCCATTAGAAATTTTCAGGATTCTAAGAAAGTGACTCTAGGGAGGATTCCTAGTAATGGAGGATTCAGACCTTCAACCAGCCACCCTCTATAAAGAGGCAAGACTTCCAGAGGTGGGAATGGGACAACAAACAAGCCACAAAACCTTCAACTGTAATCTATTCCACCTGCAAGATGGAGTAAGACTTTGGAGGAGCAGAACTTAGGGGACTTGTCACCCAATGATTAGTCCACTTTGAGACCCATGTCACTAGAAGGAGCCCATGCTCAATACAGCCTGGATGACCAGCAACAGGAGGCTGGATATCCCAAAGATCTATGACAGAAAAAAATCAGTAAAATAATTACTTAAGGTATTCTTATACACTAATAGATCAGGGCCTAGCTGAATCATCGTCAAAAATGCTTCCCATCAGCAATTGACGGGAGCAAACATAAAGACCCACAGCCAAACATTAGGTAGACAGCCAAGTTGGAAGTCTCTACTGGGTCCCTCATCTCGGAACCTGGGGAAGTCCACAAAAGAGGGGGAGAATAAAATGTAGGAGCCAGAAGGATCAAGGACACCAAGAGAGCACAGTTCACATACTTCAACTAAGTGGGGCTCCTAGGGACTCCCAGTGACTGAGACAGAAATCACAAAGCATAAACCCGTCTACATTAGGTCATCGGCATGCATGTTATGTTTGTTAGCTTGTTGTTTTATGTGACTCCTAACAGTGCAAGTGGGTGTGTCTCT